CCTCGACTCAAATAAAAGTCTTGTGATAATTTAAAAGTTGGTTCCCGTCTGATTCTCGAGGGACCGTACTGGAAGAATATCGGCCCTCGGTCTTTTTTGCACGGACCTCGCTGCGCTCGGTCCGTACTGTCAAGACCTCGGGCCGATATTCTCCCAGTACAGCCCTCGCGCATGGTTAGTAAGATATATGTATGGTATCATAAATGGGATGTGTTCAATTGTGTAATGAAAACTAAAATAAGTGAGGCACTGCATAAAGGCGTAGGCATTGTTCGTTCATAGTCGCATTATCAGATACACCAAGAAGCTAGCAAGGTTGTTTGGAAAGAAGGCGAACGTACTGTAGATCTGGATAGACAGTCTCCAAATACCACTTGAATGGTTTGCATTTTAAACGTTCCCGAAGTTCCTTTCTTGATTTCACACTACAACCAAACAAAAAAGCAATGGTATCAAAAATTCACACCAAGCGCTAAAAAAGAACAAAACAAAACAAAACAAAACTCGACTCTGATGATGACTTCCGCTCAGGTTGTCGAAATGTGAGTCACCACTCAGTACCAACAATCCTTTTCAAGACCACGCTCACCCGGACGATCGCGCGATAATTTACAGTAAAGAATAAACCAATAAAAATAGCTTCTTCATGGAACGTAAGAGCGCTCCTCTGTTAGATCAAAAATAATGTTTTCCTGTAGCTGCCACGCGAAGCACCTTCATCGGCTTGTCCAAATCGGATGGGTTTTCATCTCCCGCCTGAGTAAGCACGTCTTTTTATCTCATCCATTCAAAGATGAGCTTTAACTTGCCACCATAAAAGAAACTGAGGCATAACGAGCGTTCTGATTAGTCAAAAACCTATCTTTAATCGTACCAGTAAATCCTTGGTTACTCTACAAATGCAACAGACTGCACCCGAAAAGGTTTGCATATAACTCGCTCCCAGCTCGTGATTTACTAACTCTTCTCGTGTTCTCCTAACATCCCGTGGGGGGGGTTACTACACCGACAAACTGATCAGCTGATGTCTTACTCTTCTGTTCATATTTTTATTACCTTCCATAATTGGCACTCCGCGCCATGGGACGTGCAGCGTAATAGAATCGCTTATACTCGTCCATCCAGACCTCAGCAGTTCGGCGGGTATTCCTGTGTAGACATAAATTTCGTACATGAAAAAAGTTCACCGAAAGCTCCAGATTCTTAAACACATTCTACTTGTCAAAATCATAGGAATTATAAGAGAAAAAGAAACATGTGGAGAATGTAAATATTTGTGTTAGAGTGTAAAGGTGAAAAATCCTTCTGGATTGGATGGAAACTTTAAAAGCAAGAAAAACTAAAAAGGAACATCGATGTTTTAGAATTGGGGGGGGGGATTGACAAGAATTGCAGTTGCAGATGATAGAGATTTAAAAAAAGTTTAGAGATACATTATATCTTCACAGTTCAAGAAGTAACTAAGCTCACGGAGCTGGCACGACCTACTTCATGTAAGTGTTTGCATTTCCATCAGGAAATGAATAGGGATGTCTTTTTCTGAACACGTGACCAACTCTTGAACAAGGAATGATTTCCATGCTTCCTCCGCACTGCCATGTCCTGAAGGAGATTTCTGTGGGCAAACGAAACAAGATCAAATGAAAGACTCCAAATCTGAAAGACTCCAAAGCCGATGGACAGGCAAAGAAATCGTTTGTGATTTACAAACTTTTATGGTGCTTCCAAACCCAAAACGTGGGTATTAAGCGAGTAAACCAATACAATACAATAACTTTATTTAAAGAGGGAAGCGCAATAACCTATTACAGTCTTCTAACCTACGGCCCTCAAAAATAAATAAGCAAATAGACAAATAAATAGTGGATAAAATATATATATATATATATATATATATAACCTTTGTGGTATCGTCTAAGTCATATATATACACAAGAGACATTATCTAAAGTAAAATAGACTATAAAAACGAAATGAATGATATAAATCGATAAAAGGGAGCAAAATATGTAACTATAAATGAACACGTACACATACATGTGTAAATATAGATTAAAGACGTAATAGTAGTTATAGTAGGACTATGAAAAACAGTGATAATGGATGGAATAGCGACAAGTCAAGCACCGTAGATCCTCCAAGTGCTCGGCCAATGATAGGTGTGAGAGAAACAGACTTCGTATTTTGGACTTATGAGAGGAGGGAAGAGATTTAAATAACGGTGGAGAATAAGAAGAAAGAGAAAATGCTTTCAAGTCAGAACTGAGGTCATTAAAAAGTTTAGTAGCAGTATAAGCCAATGTGCGTTTACCAGAATTGCTATGTGGGTATGGTACCTTTAAGTCGCAGAGGGACGATCTTGTAAAACGGCCCTGTGGTCCACGTGAATCACCAAGAGATTGAAATCTATTTCTAAGACATGTAGGAGCATTCGGATTAAAGAGTACGATGAAAAGAAGTAAAAGTTTCTTGTATTTAATAAGATCAAAAACGGGGATCCAGTTGAGTTTTAAAAATAAGGAAACAGAAGCCTGAGAGAGGTCGGGATCAGGGAGTATACGCCTAGCATGCTTTTGGAGACCAAGCAGTCGCAGGAGTAGATGGTGGGAACAGTTACCCCAGGCAGCGGAACAATAAATAAAGTAGTTGTTAACGCAAGAATTATAGAACCTTACAGCAGAATCAAAGTTACGATAAGGTTTGATGCGATGGAGAAGAGAAAGCCTACTGCTAATTATGCAGCAGATTGTATCGATGTGATGCTCCCAAGACATGTCACTGTCTATTGTGACACCCAGTATCTTGACGTGGTCCACTTGCTCAATGGATCTACCATCGACTTGGACATCGAGTACCGAGCTGGTTAAAGTATGGCGTTTCAGCAGGGTCGTAATAAGTAAAGATTTAGTTTTGGTTGTGTTAAGTGACATTCGATTATTATCAGCCCACGTAGATACAGTTGTAGCAACGTCCCTTTCAACTGAGTGCTGAGGGAAGTAAAAGAGGGCCCTCGAACAAGAAGAGTAGGATCATCCGCAAACATAGTTGAAGTTACGCCTGAATGTAGGTTTAACGGCAAGTCATTGATATGAATAATGAAGAAAAGTTGCCTCAGTATACTACCCTGAGGCACACCTACAGAGACTAGAAGTGCTGCAGATAGAGTGCCCCTAAACTGGGTTATTTGAGAACGCCCAGACAGATAAGAGCGAAACCAAGTCATGGTAGAATGGGAACAACTATAGATACGAAGTCTATTAAGTAACGTATCATGATCCACAAGGTCGAAAGCTTTCTTCAAGTCAACTAACTAAAGTCCATTAAGGAGTTTGCTATCCATGATAGTCAAAATGTTATCGGAAAGATCGGCGATAGCAGGCTCACACGAACAAGAACTACGGAAACCAAATTGGGAATCCAGCAGCAGCTCATGTTGAGAAAGAAACTTGTAAAAAGTTTGGTGTACATGACGCTGGAGAATTTTTGAGACAACAGCTAGAACCTATAGTGGGCGATAATTAGATCGGTGAAACAATGATCCGTCTTTATGTGGTGGAGAGACTTTAGCAGTTTTCCATAGGTCGGGAAAAACACCAGAAGAAATGCTAAGATTAAAAAGAAAACCGATCGAGAGTGTGTTCTTTACCTTCATCCTGACATTTACTTTTAGGTTTTAACCCCCTTTTTTTACTTGAAATACATGTACATTTTTTGCGAATGGTTACCCCACATACCAAAGTTTTCTCCACCCCAAATGTCCATCATGACGTCATACTGCCCTAACTTCTCGAACCAGGCTTTCTCCACCATAAATAAGCCACCAGCTATCATCGGCGTTCTGGAAAAAAAAACATACATGTATTATAAAAACAATTATTCACCAAAGTGGAGGCGAATAGTGGTGGATATTTACCGAGCCACGAAGCAGTGAGGCAAATATCTACTACTTTCACCGACACCAAGGTAAAAATTGTTTTAATTATATACCACACAAAATAAATTCATTCATTTTAGTCAATATACCAACAAATGGTCGGGGAACAAGTCGTTGACGCTCCAACAATTCCTCTCTTTCCACTGATCCAGGTGTATAATTGATCCCGGTAAACTGCCAGGTAAGTCTGACAGAATGCTGAAGTAACGCGCAACGCACCAGCATTCCATCCAGGGGGAGTTCGCTTAAGGTCACAGAAAACGAGATGACTCTGGCAGTTGCACAACAAAGTTTTATGCGATTACATGGACTGTTATGTACCTAATTGGTGCCACTGGATTGCTCTTTCTCGCTTGTTTCTCCTTCGATGTTAAGCTATCCCACTTAAAATGAAGACTCCAATCAAACCCTGAAACAGAGGTGTCATAAATGAACATTTAACTCGATAAACACACAGAGAATAACACCATTAAAAACATGTATGTATAATTCATCATTTGATAAAAAAAAAATACCAGAATAATTGTACACACTACAGTTGATTTGCGCTAATCTTCCATTGTCATGTAATAGCGTGCTAAGCTCATGTTATGTCAAAACACGTTTTTTTAAAATGTATTTCACCTCCCATCCTTTACCATCCAACCACAACACTTATCATTACGTACTGTCCGGTCAAGACACGTCACGCAACGTCAAGTTTAGTCACGTCACATCCTCTATGTCATGTCACATCATGTCGTATAAAATTATACGCTTTTCAAGTTAAGCCAATGACACCTCACCTCCCTTTATGTCTGCTGAAGCTCCAAGGTAATTAAAATCATCCATGTTGATTACGTCAATAATTGGACTAACTACAACTGTTCTATCCTGGAAAAAAAGGAAAAGGTGAAGAACACGAACCTGATAAGTAGTGAAAGACATTCACAGCAAATTAACCGGCATACTTTACTAATACAATTCACAAGTATACTTTAATGATTATATCGTAATACATCATTTTATGTTACTTCCTTAGTCTATGTGGATTGTTTTATTACAGTAGCCCGTACTGAGCCGTGGCTCAGTGAAAATAAGAAAACAAAGCAGGTGCACAGAAATTGGCAGAAGTTGTTTCCTTGAAAAAAAAAAAAAAAGTGTTTTATGGTCACACCTCTTTTTGCTTGTCGCAATTGACTGAAAGCTCAAAGAGACTTTAAACCCCTTTCACCCTTAAAAGTGACTATAATTTTATTTCTCCTTACAATATCACCCCTGAATCAAACATTAAGGTCAGGAGAATAAAGCAAATGATCAGTACCACGGGAAATGCAAAGAGTACAGTACCCAGAATACCCAGAATACTCAGAATACCCAGAATACTCATACTGATGTTAGGGTGTGAAGGATAAACACAAGGGTCCTACGCTGTGCATGGAAAATGAATCCAATTTCTTTTCACTTTGAAAAAGATTATGACAGGAACACTAATTACATAAAGGAACATTATTCTTATTGTTTTCACAGTGTTTCCTATCTGATCATTCAGGTTGTCTTAGAGTCAAGAAGATTTAGACTTACATCTTTCACTGGAGATTTCACCCAAGGTTCACGTCCATCAAAAGTATCAAGTTTGAACTGGAATTTCAGGGAAGAGGGCAGAAAGGGGTCAGGAAGCAAAATATATTATGAGAAAATAAAAACAAATCATTACCTGTACGACTCTTTGTAATAGAGGTTCTAACCAGCCAATGTTACACTCACAGTGGCTGTCAAGGAAAGTTAATATTGTGCTTGTAGCAGCATTTGCCCCTTTAACACGAGATCGTATCAACCCTGGAAAGGAGTGTCAAAGACTTATTCAAGTAAATTAACAAAGAACTCTGTCAAAACAACACCCTCGGGTTTCCTTGTGTGAGTAAAGAAACTGTGTTCTCTCATCACTGAAGAAAATTGACTTGATTATCCAAGTTGATATGGACTTAACTCTTTAACTCCTAGAAACAATTAGCAAGTAACTTCTTCCCCTAATATCTTTACAACTATCCAACAAACAGGTGATGAGAATACTAAAAACATATCTTGTAGAAGTTGTTATCTTGATCTTAAACCAAATTCTCATGATGATAAATCGACAAGAAAATGTGTAAAAGCTAGATGGGAGAATAAAGAATGAGATCTTTGGAGTAATAAAGGGTTAACTATGAATAAGAGCTGGCTAACTGCTACTGAAACTTTCTAAAATGCCCACTCCAAAACAAGGAATGGCAAATTTAATTTTGAATTCCCAACCAAGTCTTTTGGATTGAGATTCTATTTAATTTAATATTTGATTTGAAACTTTTTGCAATTTGAAAAATCTAATCTGTTTTATCAAACATTACTTGGCCTTGCCTTTGCCTTGTGCAGCAGTTTTCTCACTGATAAACATAATGATTACACCTTGACTCAGTGCAAAGGTATTGTAAATATCTTTACTCCTCACATGTTTTTAATAGAAATGGTAATGCTAAGAAGTACATATAGATAAATATCTGCATTCAGTTATGTTACTAAATTACCTTCTCTTTTGTCGTTTCTAAGAACTTTGACCTTTGGAAGTCCTACCAAGAGCTGCCCATCATCAACTGTAAGCAAAAAAACAGAAATCAAATTTATTAAATTAAAAAAAAGGGAATAAACAATGACCTGAATACGAAAGCCATCTTCAGAGTATTTTTGAACACTACTTAACCAGTAGTGAAAATGAGGCCTGAAAAAAAATTCAGGCCTGTGTGGGATTTGAACCCAGGACCTCTGAGATACCAGTGCAGTGCTTTACCAACTAAGCTAACAAGCCAACTGGGAGCTAGTCATTATGTTGGTTCTGTACTTCACAGGTGTACTATGAACCAACATAATGACCAGCTCCAAGTTGGCTTGTTAGCTCAGTTGGTAGAGCACTGCACTGGTATCCCAGAGATAATGGGCTCAAAATGCCCTACACGACTGAATTTTTTTCAGGCCTCATTTTCACTACTGCTCAAGTAGTGTTCATATTCATTTCTTAGAACTTCCCTTCACATATATGATTTTCATATATTCATTAGTTCTTATTAACCGAGTGGGAGGGCTGTATGGGAGAATCTTGACCGATATTGCCAGTACAGAACGAACGCAGTGAGGTCTGTACCAGTGACCGAGGTCAACATTCTCCCATACAGACTGAACTAGCTCGGTTAATAAGATGTTTATCATATGGCTGTGTCTTATATGCCAATTTTTTATATTCTTTGTACCTTTTTTTCCTAGACCGGTCTAGATGCCGGTCTAGATGGGAAAATCTAGACCGCTTTCAATATTGATTTCGGCCAATCAAATTCGTGAATTTGGTTGTTCCCAGTCCTTGTGAGACACAGCCATATAGTAATTGTCAATAATGACCTGTTACCAATCAATTATTATAACCTTTATGATGTATGGCAGATAATTATGCATAAAAATAACTTTGGAACCTATTAAAAGTTCTAAGTTAATAAAATTTTAATGAATTTCATAAAAGTTCTTTTAATTTTTTGTAGTCACCTCATGTACAGTTTAAAATGATCACTTACGATTGTCACTGAAGTCATCTACTAAAATTATTTCTGTTACAAGGTTTGGAGGACTCCTATTTAATATACTGAAAATGAAATAAAAAAAAAAAAAGTAAATCCCATCAATTAATTCTATCATCTTATCAAATTACATGGATGTAGTCTGGTAGGATTTCTAAATTTAGACTGTAAGCAGGTTCCCGCATCACAGTCCTGCCCTGAACACGAGCTGGTTTTTATTTTCAGGATGGTTCTAATGCTCCTCAACCAACTCTGTAAACAGTCAATTGATTTATCACTGCCAACAGTGGTTTGTAACAACCTTCTTTTATACATCTGTGAACTACACTGCTGTGTTTTACAAGAATTTGCAGCGCTGAGAATAGCTGATATAACCAGCCTTGTATAATGTCTGTCCACTGTAGACATGATACATTGCGCTTTTTGAAATAATGAAATATAATTATTTCATTTTATAGTTTACAAATCCTGTACCTTTTAACAGTTCTAAGAAGGGTTGATCTTCCCTCGTTGTGAAATGTTATTATAACAGTTGTTGCTGGGAGTTCTTTAGAATATTCTTGATATCTACATCTAAAAAGAAAGAAAAAATGAAAACAAATTAGGAATCAATTGAACACACACATACAATGTACATCGTACACAAAGTTGATGAGAGTGTCTATGTTACTTGCCACAGCCTTTGGCTTCAGCAGGTAACTCAGACCAGCCATTATGATAATTCATGGTAGTCAGTATCATGCTCAGCCTCATCCAAAAACTGCATGCTTAATATCAATCTGAATATTCCCCATACTGTTCTCTATACATTTCCCTGACAAGAAGAATTTGGTTAAAAATCAAGAACTTATTAATTTTAGTTGGTAATCATTTCTTTGTTAAAGGGTGACCTTGTAAAGAGAACTTAGGTTAATTGGTTACCACTAAAGGTTAAAGGGATAGAGGTTCCCAAATACATGTATATTTGATTTGTTCAACCTCTCTAGCTATATTATATTAGCTATATTATGGAGGCAGTGTGGCCGAGTGTTTAGAGTGTCAGACTCGTAATCCGCCGCTCCCAGGTTCTAGTCCCACCCTGACCACTGGATTTGTTTCATGGTAGCCCCGAGTTCAGATCCTTGGCCACCCTTGTAAATAGCCAACTGGTTTGCCTCCGGCCAGTT